GGGGGGGGGGGGGGGGGGGGGGGGGGGGCCAAAGCAAAATAAAATTTTGCTTAGGGCCCCAATTTGGTCAGGGGCAGCCCTGTTTTGTACCATTCCCTTTGTTAAAAAAAAGTGCGCTGGCCGCTAGGCTAATTCATTTAATGTAAAATGCCTGTGCCAAAAACATTAGCATGTTGCATTTGTGGGGAAAATGTGTCCAGATAAAGACAAGTGTTTGTCTGTGAATGCTGCGAGTTATAGTGAAGCTGAGTTGTGTGCATGTGTTCAGGCGGTCATTATTAAGCCCTGTTTGTTGTGTGTTTATAGTGTGTTTTGAATCAACTAAACTTTACAGCACTTCACAGAATTCCCGCCACCCACTGGTGTGTTGGAAGTGTAACTGTTGTGCACCTGCATATCTTCAAACAGGGGAATAAAATCTCTATCTTTGAAATTCATTTTGAAAGTCTGTTTTCATAAAAGTGCTTATGACATCTCAAATGTGTCTTTGACTTGCAACTGAAAACATAGAGCCTTTCACGGAAAATACCTATATAGGTATTTTCCGTGAAAGGCTCTATGTGTGTCTAATGTGTATCGCTGATATGAATTTCTGTTCATATCGCCTCGCCCTTTATCTCTCCTGTATGAGACGTCATGTGTTTCCTCAGACTTCCACTTTGACAAAATCTTTTCCCACACTCAGAGCAGATAAATGGTTTCTCTCCTGTATGAGTTCTCATGTGTCTCTTCAGATGCTCAATTTGACAAAATCTTTTCCCACACTCAGAGCAGCTACATGGTTTCTCTCCAGTATGATATCTCATGTGTCTCGTCAAATTTCCTCTCTGACCAAATCTTTTCCCACACTCGGAGCAGCTAAATGGTTTCTCTCCTGTATGAGATCTCATGTGTTTCTTCACATCGCCGCTGTGACCAAATCTTTTCCCGCACTCAGAGCAGCTAAATGGTTTTTCACCTGTATGAGATCTCATGTGTATCTTCAGATCGCCACTCTGACCAAATCTTTTACCACACTCAGAGCAGCTAAATGGTTTCTCTCCTGTATGAGACCTCATGTGAATCCTCAGATGTCCCTTGTGACCAAATCTTTTCCCACACTCAGGGCAGCTAAATCGTTTCTCATCAACAATCAAATCATTGACAGAGACTTCATCATTTATCAGACAATTTAAACCTGACGGAGGTTCTCTGGTCTCCTTCCAACCATCACTGTCATCAGTCTCTGGTTCAGAGGACTCTCCAGTCTTGTCATCAGTCTCAGGTTGTAAATGTGTATCTAGATCTGAGTTCCTGGCTGGTTCTGCTCCTACACAACCCTTTTCTTCTGCTTCTGTTTCCATCTGTTCAGTGTGTCTTTGGTGAAGCTGTGAGGACTGAGGTTTCTCTTCATCATCTTCACTCTTCACAGGGACAGGAATGAAGGTAAACTTGATGATATCATCCTCCTCAAGCCCTTGAAGCTGCTCTCCCTCCTGACTGATCCAGAGTTCCTCCTGTTCCTCTTTAATGTGTGGAGGCTCTGGGTCCTCCTGGTCCACACTGGAGCTCCACTCCTGCTGCTCAGGGGGAACCTCTTCTTTAACCACCAACAGCTGCTGGACGTCTGCAGGAAACAGGAAACACACACACACACACACACACACACACACACACACAGATGTTACAGAGAAATGTTGTCGTTCATTCACATCACAGCTCAAAAACTCCTTATTGAACTTCTACAGATCTCTGAGCATCAAACAGCTTCACAGTGTTCACTCAGCTGTGTCAGAGTGAGTGAGGTTGAGGTGAGCTTTAATTTCATAGCAGTCATTAACATGTACTGTTACTCTTGTCATGTCTGGAGGCTACAGTGTGGCTCTTTATTTGCTCAGGCTAAAGTGAATTGTGTGATAATGATTGTCCATAGGATGTGGCAGTGTGCCAAGACTAAGGTTTGATTACCGGCAGCCAAAGTAAATAAAACACGGTTGTTGTTTCGAAGCATTTGCCCATTGACATATGTTTCCTCCTCGCCCTGACCCCCGGCAAATGAAGCATGCAGTCACAGGAAGCTGACCCCCCAGAAGCTAAGCTCGTACTACTGAGGCACTGCAGAAAGCTCTAAGGCTCAACATTACGTTTTTTCATCAAGTTTTATCTGTAGAGTTTTCTATTCTACAATTTTTTTATTTATTTATTTTTTTTATCATCACAGCCAGCTACTGTTATTAATGTTGATTAAAAAAATATTATCCAGGCTACCCAGCAGTATATCAGGTAATATAGTAATATATATTCATAAATACATTTAAGTTTGCTCCACATAGACCAGCTGCAACGTTAAAACGCTTCAATACATCCAATCTTGAAACATATATTGTGATGCAATAAACCATGATGCAGATATGATACATCTGCATTTCAAAATAAGGTGTTACGACTGATAAATACAAATTAAATATATGGAAATCAGATTTATTGGATCCTAATCACAGGAAGTTAACACGCTACCTACGTCCCTTGTTGTTTTGGAAATCCTGCTAAATTTCTATAAATCATGTTTGTCTATCCACCTTATTCCTGAGGGCGCTACTGTAGAAATGATTATGCGCGCAACTTCCTGTGAGATAGCGGAAGTAGCAGTAAGCTAGTTCGTCCCATCGATTGTCTGCAGTTCTCCCAGTGGCTACTCTTGGTGGCTAACTGCCAATGCTGGTTCTTTTCCAAAGTAATTTGCCTTCAGTTTAGCAAATACTGATTTATTTTTTAACAAATATTTAACTAAGGTTAACTTTGCATTTTCTAAAATGTCTTTGCGCAGCTTTGATACATACTTCCTTTATATTATATAAAAAAAATGAATGCCAAATGTTATTTATTTTGTGCCTACTTTCTATTACTATTAAAGTCTGCTGCTAAATTCAGCTTCATGTTTCGCTCAGAACAGTTTTTAATAAATCAGAAATTAAAATATGTGCGGAGGATTAGCTAGGAAACATCACATTTATCCACTTTACATGGAGCTACAGTTAATACTGTTAAATGTTTGCCAAATGTGTTCGTATCTCTTAATAAGCCATCAGAAATCATCTTTAGAAGGAGCAGAGGTATGATCACATAATCCTGTTTTTAAACAGATGGTGTGTTCCACGTTTTGTTTACCAATTGCTCTTGGAAAGAATAATAGAATACTGTAAACAAACTGTTACCACTGGAAACCGCCGGTTTCCGTTGAATGCCGGAAGTAATGCACATAATGCGCGTAAGGGATCGTGTGGGTAAGGAATATGGTGAATATTAATATCAAAAGAAAAACACAATCAATGCATCCGGGGCTAACGACATCACCAGAGAAGCTAACGACACCAGAGAAGCTAACGCGGCGTATAAACATCGACAAACTGAATATTTATTGAACAAACCTGCAGTTATATTATTAATAATGAACTTGTAATGTTAAATGAACAAACCTGCTTTGTTTAACTGAGGCTGAGGGTTGAAAACAGCGTCCAGTCGTTTCCGTTGTCGCTCGTTCTCCTCTTTTGATCGACAAAGTTCCTCCTCGTACTCTGCTATCGTTCTTTCAAACAGCCCAAATATCTCTTCAGCAGCCGCAGTTAGTCGCTGCTTCACCAACGATCTCAGCATTTGGACTTTAGACATGTTCACACTTTAAAAAACACAACAAAGAGACTCTGCTAACACACCTTTCTATCAGACGCCATCTTGCTCGAGTACTGTGAAGTTAGCGACAGTAAAGCATCAGCTTCCGGGGTAGATGAGTTAATGGGCTTCAAAATAAAAGTCCAGAAGTGTTAATGAAATTCCAGAGTTACTCAGAAAAACACACTCAGGAGGATAAATGATTAAAATACACTAAAAGAATCACACTTTTTGAACTGTTCCAATTGTCTTTTAGTTTATTTGTTTTCAGATGTGCAAAAAAAAAAAAAAAAAAAAGTAGTACATGAGCAACGGAAACATGGAGAGATGCAAAAACCCTTCAGAGGGGCTTCATCAAGGCACTTTCCAGTGTATACCCTAATCCATTAGTTAACTCAGTAAAATATAATAAAGATGGAAGAAGTACACAAAATTAAAACCACTAAATATTAGTAGACAGTTTACACAGTTTAACATCAGGAGGATAAACTCCAACCTTTAACATCTTGATGGGCAGTTTACACAGAAAGTCCGTAAGTGTAACATTCAGGAAATAAAATCAAACCTTTAACACATAATCCATCACTATAACTTTTTTCAGAATGAAATACAATATATTTAAATATATATCTCTGTTACCCCTTGGTGGTCCAAATGAGTTGCCAAATTTGTTGCTTGTTGCTTTTTAGAAAAAGCAAGAAAGTCACCACAATGAAAGCACTCAACAAGGGATATGTTGATTTGTATTGAATACCAGTCGAGTGTATCCAGAACACCAAGTATTCAAACAGAAGAGGATAATGGATACTACAACTATGGAGCAGAAATAATGTGGTGGTTACTTCTTCTATTAAATCTTGGTGGATAGAGTCAGAGTGTATAGAGATAGTCGACAGTTGTGTAGAGTGCACAGTAGCCCTTTTTAGATAGGAACTGTGCAAATTTGCAGGAAAGCCCAATCAGTCTTTTTTCAGCATTGGCAGTATAAAAACAAAATCATGAAATCTACCTACCTTTGTTTATACAGAAGGTGCCTTTTTCGCGGCAATGGGGGGAGTGAGCAAGTAACAAAATGTGTAGCTCAGCATGTGATGTAAACAGTGACGTGGGAGGGAAGCCACAGCTGGTTAGTCCTTTGGCGATTCTCTCGTAAGTCGGCCTGTTCTTCAATCCCCCCCCCCACCCCCCCCCTCGTCATCTGATGGTTAATGGCCTCTTTGTTTGCGAGGACAAGGAGGCTGCGCAATTCCTTGTCTCCCCAGTTGCTCATCTTTAATTTCTGCTATCGCGGCCCAACATTCGCAGACAATCTGGCAGTGTAAAAGGGGCTATTGAGTGCATATCTGATCTGACGAAGCCCACTATGTGCATCTTCTGCTGAGTGATGTGTGCACCAAAAACTAAACAATTCTATGGTTTCTCTACCATGTGACTCCCTGTGTCTCCTCAGACTCTAGCTGACAGCTGACTTTTTTTACCCCACTCTGAGCAACTTAACAATTTTTGGTTAGTATTGAGTGTCACGCAACGTAATGGGACTTCATATTTTACAGAGAGTTGAAAGCTGACTGAAGTTCTTTGATCTCCTTCCGATCATCATCACTGTCATCAGTCTCTGGTTGTAAACATGTATCTGGATGTGAGTTCCTGGCTGGTTCTGGTCCTCCACACTGCCTCTCTGCTCTCCTCAGTTTGAATTTGATGAGGCTGTGCGGACGGACAAACAACACACTGATAGTTTCCAAGTTGTTTAGGCCAAGTGAATCTTTAATGACAAACACTGCAACTTATAGGTTTCTCTCCTGTGCAGGTTTTCATGTGGTTGTGTACCTGTCCAGTCTGTGTTAAAGACTTCATACAAACGCTGCAGCTGAAAAGTCTTTCCCTTTTATGGGTACTCATGTGTCTTTAAAGACCTATTCCAAAGTTTTTTGTAGTTTTCAAACGAATCACTTTTCTCCTTCATGAGTTCTCATGTGTATGTAAGACATGACACTGTGCAAATGATTTCCCAAAATTGAACAGTTAATTGGTTTCTCTCTCTTATGATATCTCATGTGTTTCTTCAGTTTCACAACAAAAACTTTTCCCACACTCAGAGCAGCAAAATGGTTTCTCTCCTGTATGAGCTCTCATGTGTCTACTCAGATCTCCACTTTGACAAAATCTCTTCCCACACTTGGAGCAGCTAAATGGTTTCTCTCCTGTATGAGATCTCATGTGTGTCTTCAGAACTCCACTTAAACCAAATCTTTTCCCACACTCAGAGCAACTAAATCGTTTCTCATCAGCAATTATATCACTGACTGGGACTTCATCATTTTTCAGAGAGTTTAAACCTGACTGTAAATACATTTACATTTGCTCCACATTGACCGGCTGCAACATTAAATTGATGAACACATTAGCTTCAATAACTGCAATCTTGAAACATATTTACATGCAGTAAACCACAATATAAATATGACTACATCTGTGTGTCATAATAAGGTGTAAGAAATCACATTCATTGGATCCTAGTTACAGGATGTAAACAAGTTACCTGTGTCCCTTAGAAATGAAGAAACCCCACTCAATTGTCAAAGAGCATGATTGTCCGTGTTAAATAAAAACAAGAAAAAAGAACCAGTCCATGAAGGCCGGGAGGAAAAATAGTTAACGACACCAGAGAAGCTAACAACAACAGGGAAGCTAACGCAGCGTGTAATTGTTGACAGACTCAATATTTATTGAACAAACCTGCTCTGTGTAACCGAAGCTGAGGGCTGTAAACAGCGTCCACTGGTTTCCGTTTTCGCTCGTTCTCCTCCTCTGTTAACACAACTTTCTACCAGACACCATCTTGTTTAAACAGTGCGACGTTAGCAACAGTGAAGAGTACAGCTTCCGGGGTAAATGAGTTAATAAGTTTCAAAATAAAAGTCCAGAGGTACGAATGGAATTAAAGGCTTACTCAAAAAAGACACATGCAGGAGGATAAATGATTAAAATACACTTTTTGAAAGAATGACTTTTATTGAACTGTTCCAATTTTTTTTTTTAAAGTTTAGTTCATTTGTTTTCACATATGCAAAAAAGTAGTACATGAGCAACAGAAACGTGATGGAGAGATGCAAAAAAAACCCTCATAGGGGGTTAATCAAGGCACTTTCCATTGTATACCATACTCCATTAGTTAACTCAGTAACATATTACAAAGATAGAAAAAAAGAAAGACAATTATAAAATCCACACAGACCATGTACACAAGTACACAAAATTAAGATCACTAAATATCAATCAGTTTACACAGGGAATCCATAAGTGTAACATCAGAATAGTTACATCCAGCCTTTAACATCTTGATGGGCAGTTTACACAGATAGTCCATAAGTGTAACATTCAGGAAATAAAATCAAACCTTTAACACATAATCCATCAGTATAAAACCATTGGAAGATTGTTTATTTAGTTATTTTCAGCCATGACTGAAACATTTAAAGATACAGAGTTTCACACCATGGTTCATCCTGTCTGATGTGTCTGCTGTGCTTACTTTATGTCCCAAGTTGCTTTATTGCTTTCACTTGCTTTCACTCACCTCTGCAGCAGCTGCTCCTCTCATCCATCAATCAGATCAGCTCTGATTGAAGCAGCTGATCGTTTATCCACCCCATGACTCATACTACTGCTGCTGTTGGAAAAAAACAATGTCATAAAGAGTTCTACCTGCACCGCGTAAAAACCTCTGAATTTAGAGGGTACACATAATAATAGAGGGACACAAGAGACCAAAAATGGCCTTTATAGCTATGAGGAAAACCATAACTATTTCTATCAAAGGAGTCTGTTGACTGTGGACGGGGGCAGCAGCAACACTTAAAGCCACAAAAAAAAAAAAAAAAAATTTCCTGAGCCTGAAACCTGAAACTGGCAAACGGCAATCTTTGTCACTCGTTCTCCGTCCACACGGATTTTTTATTTCAAAACATCACTTTTCATTTTGATGTTTTGAAATAAACTTTTTTCTGCATCCGAGAGCCTCCTCTTTTCTGTCAGTGTGCAGGCCTTTTCTCTTTTTTTGAACTGTATGACTTTTTTGGCCTTTGCACCTGCTCTAATCCTGCAGTTCACCTCAAGAGCGCAAAACATTTTTCATATGTAATATGAATCACCCAGCCCTACCACAATGGTGGACAGCAGTGCTGGCAGAACCGGGACAGCTGGTGTTGTTTCCACACTGGCCGGCGGATGTCACATAGTCACATACGCCGGTGAGAAATCCTCCTCTGTGAAGATGCTGGGGTTGAACGGCCAGATTCCTGTACACCTGAAGCCAGCCACTATGTTTGACGGTGTGGCAGCAGATGGCAGCGCTGTTGCCACAATACCTGTGAAAAACACAGTCCTGGTGCATAAAACTGGTATATTTACATTTGATTTTAAAAGTTGTTTAATAAGTATTGTCCCTATTTAAACAGATAGATCTTACAAATCGTACCTGGCAAATCATAAATTGTCATTTTTTTCCCAGGATTTCCCATCATCCATTGGTCCATGGCTGAGTTGATGCACCTCTTCAGAGGTTCGTACACACTGCGGTCCACAGGCTGGAGCTTGTGTGAGCAGTGAGGTGGGAAGGAGAGGAGCACGACACCGTTGGCACGACAATAATCTATGCCTTCCAGCGAGAGGTGAGAGGTATGATTATCTAGGAGCAGAAGCACTTTGGAGTCAGCGGATGCTTTGGTGTGATGGACGAAGTGTTTGAGGAAGATCAGGAAGTCGCTCTCCTGCATCCAACCTGACTCTGAGCATGAGCCAGTGCAGCCTGTAGGCCCGTCTCTGACAAAGTGGTCATGATAAGTTTTGCAGGGAAACACAAAGTGGGGTGGGATGGAGTTACCCATGGCATTGACAGCTAATGCCATTGTGACAAATGTCCCTCTCTCCGCAGACGTCATGGCTCCGACCTGCTTTGTGCCACGGCTGGCGACAACTTTATCAGGCACTTGAACATTGACCGTGCTGGAATCGTCGACGTTCCACACATCCTTGGCTTGGAAGTGGTGCCTGTCCAGGACCTTGGACAGTTTGGAAAAGAAGTTTCCAACATTGGAAGGATTGAAACTTGTGGCTCGTGAAAGGCTGGTGGCCTGAGGACGTCGGACCAACAGCTGTGGATTGCGATGCAGGAAGGCGGCGGACCAGTCCCTCCCGGCTAACTGGTTCACATCCCAAGCCTTTGGATAACTACAGTCATGCTTCTTGGCCAGCTGGTAGGCAAGACTGCGGACCTGAGGGATTCAAGAGCCACAATGAATTAATACTTTAAATTTGGCATAATGTTCAATATTACATTTACACAATACATTGATTTTAACTTAATTATGTTCACCCTAACCCTATGAGCTGTAATATCTATGTATATATTTTAACTTATTTATTAATTTAATCAGTTTTATCCTATGAACTGTGATATCCATGTATTTGAAGGTAATAAAGAACTTGCTATTGTTTTCAACCTAGAAACTGTAACATCATTTCTTAAACTTTATGAACTTATCAATTATCTATGATTTGCATTAACTTTAAACAATTCTCTATGCTACGTAAGCTTACCTCACGAGAACTGAGCCCATAATAAATATCTGCAGCCTTTAGAAGGTACTCCCTCAAGCTGCTCTCTTGCTCTGCTGAGAACACCTTATTATGAGGTTTGTATCCTGGCTCTGGTGCAGTTGGGTCCACGCTTTTAATTTTAATGTACCGATACAGAGTTGAGTACGGCACTCCAAACAGAGCTGCAGCACCTCTGACTGTGCGTCCCTTACACACAGCCTGATGTGCCTGCGCAAACAATGTGGGACTGCTATACAGGCCGTTGGTGGTCTTTCTCGCTCTAACCTTGTTCGTTTTCTGAAACAACAGAGCAAAGAAATACATGTTTATTAACAGAGGCCGTGCAGGTCCGTTTGACCTGGAGCACAGTGATCCGTTCGTCCCCCTACCGCTTCCATCCACATTTAGCTGTCTACCACCTAACTTAGGCAAGCATGGAAAATGAAACTTTCACTGATAGTTCACACACAGATACGTCTATCAGATAATACACACTTACAATCCGAACAAATGAACATAAACCTGAGAAATGGAAAACTCAGACTTTTGTATTTTTTTCTCACCGAGTGAAGAAACTGCTTTTTCGCTGTAAATCCGTCCAAACACGGCTGTTCGGGCTGATTTTTTTTCCTGGACTTCCTGGCGGGAGATACTTCCAGTGTACCATGTGAGTAAATGTCCGTGATCTGCCTGCCCCCCTGATCCGTTTGTAGCCGCCCTCCCAACCCTGTGGCAATTACATCAAACATCATACTCAAATTAACCAGACTCCACTGAGAGAATCAGTAATCTTACCTCACAGAACACAATGAGTCGCTGGTCTTCAGCTGCCCTTCGATAGGGCAGTTATTTTGTGTTGTTGTGTGACTTTTGCAACTGACCTAACCATGCCAGTTCTCTTGTCTGCTTCTCAAAACTGGGAGCGTAAAGCTGGTAACACATTCCAAATAAAGGCTGAGTCATGAAGGTTGTTCAGCTGCATCCTCCCTGCTGTGCCGAGCAGAGCCATGCCGTGCCAATTTGTGTTTCCATAGTGAGTTTAGAGGCACCATGCCATGCCAAGCCGCAATGGAGATGGACATTCTCCAGGGTAGGTCCAAAAGCCAGGCCACCCGCCCTTAAGCCAGGAGCGGTAACTCCTCGCGGACTGCAGCCAAACCCTGTCGACCCCCCTTCTACTACTCACTTACTACTCTTACATACCTTCAGCTACAGAAACCATTCAAATGTCAAATGTTCAGCTCTGTAAGGATTTTCAGATGTTTCGGGCAATTTGTTTGATATTTCTGTACTTTCAGCCTTTTCTTTTATTTCAGCATTCACACGCATTTTCCGCAGGAAATGCATTTTCTAGTTTATCTTTCTGAGTTTGTGAGTATGACTTTACTTGTGACTTGCTTGACCTGAGCAATGACTTGGCACAACTTTCTTGACTTATACCAAGGACTGGACGGCTATGGCTCAGAGGCAGAGCCAGACATCCACTAATCCGAAGATCAGCGGTTCCAATTGCTTGGTGCGTGAGTGTGTTAAAAACTGAGTAGCAGGTGGCAACTTGTCTGGTAGCCTCGATCCTTTGTGTATGAGTGTGTGTACGATGGGTGAATATGACTCATAGTGTGAAAAGCGCTTTAAGTGGTCAGATGACTAGAAAGGTGCTATACAAGTGCAGGTCCATTTACCATTTACCATTTACTTGAGATCTGAAGGTTTAACATGAGACTTGCTTAAGACAAGCAAATGTGTGACTTGACAGATACCTGACTGAGGTTCTCTGGTCTCCGTCCAATCATCACTGTCATCAGTCTCAGGTTCAGAGGAGTCTCCAGTCTCTTCATCAGTCTTGGAGTGTAAATGTGTATCTGGATCTGAGTTCCTGGCTGGTTCTGGTCCTCCACAGTCCTCTCTCTCTGCTTCTGTTTCCATCTGTTCAGTGTGTCTATAATGAAGCTGTGAGGACTGAGGTTTCTCTTCATCATCATCACTCTTCACAGGGACAGGAGTGGATATGAACTTGGTGATATCAACCTCCTCCAGCTCTTGAAGCTGCTCTCCCTCCTGACTGATCCAGAGTTCCTCCTGTTCCCCTTTAATGTGTGGAGGCTCTGGGTCCTCCTGGTCCACACTGGAGCTCGACTTCTGCTGCTCAGGGGGAACCTCTTCTTTAACCACCGACAGCTGCTGGACATCTGCAGGAAACAGCGCGCACACACACACACACACACACACACACACACACACACACACACACACACACACACACACACACACACAGGTTACAGAGAAATGTTGTCGTTCATTCACATCACAGCCCAAAAACTCCTTATTGAACTTCTACAGATCTCTGAGCATCATCTATTCCTAAACAAACATCTCCTCCTTAAAAATGATTTCTTATGACCCACGAACAGACAGTTACACATGCGGCAAACAATTTATATAATACTGTTTAAATGTTAGCTCCATGTAAAGTGAGTAAACATGACATTTACCAGCTAATGCTCCACTTGTCTGTCTTAATGACAGTTTACACATTTTTATCACTGCTGACTTATTAAATCAGAGTTCTACCGAGTGAAACATGATGATGAATTCAACAGCAGACCTCGGTAATATCAGTAATATAAAGCAGTAGTAAAACAAATAACTTAAGGCATTCGTTTTACATGATATGAAAGAATTAAGGCAAATCAGTGACACGCTCAGAATAGATGACTAAACAATATGTCCAATGTACTCTGATTAAATACTGCCATCTAGTGGACACTTATGCAAATACAATGTATACCGAATACTCAGAATACAGGCTTTGTTTATGAGAGCTCCAGGTAGAGACCGTGCCAATACTACCTTTCCTAGCACATTCACCATACTCTATTTCACATGCTACATAGCATAACTCCAATATAAGCCAAAGTTAAAGGAGACAGAAAAAGATTAACTCACAGAATCAGCAAACACGCTCACCTTGCAGCATGGTCTCAAACAAAAGGGATTCAAATAGGCCACTCCCACACTTAAATAACCTTCCTCTTCCTGGATTTTCTCCTGAGAGGAAGTGGATCTCTCCACCTGATCTGATTTATTCTATACCAGTTTGCCTGAGCCAAGCCCCAGGCCTCCCCGGCCAAACTGCCTCTGCCTCCTGAACTGCCGATCTTGGGTTCCACTTCCTCCCCTTGGTTGGATTTGGAACCACACTCCTAACTACCAAGTCATTACTCCCAGATAACAAAAGCTCTGTCCTGACCTTGGTACATTTAAATTCCTCTGTTAAACTAGATACTGGCAGCTGAAGTATCCCTTTTGCATACAAATGCAACACTACTCAAAGGCCCGTTTCCACTGAAGGAGTTCCTGGTACTATCTGGGGGGCAGGAACTACTACAGGAACGTCCTCTCGCTCGGCCCTGTCAGCCGCCGTGTCTCCACTGAGAGAGCGGAGTAGGAGGAAGGTTCCTATGGCAAGCTGTTTTAACATTTAATAGCTAGACTGGATATTAATTACTGATACCTGCAACATAATTTTGCCTGGTCAAAACTCCAATTACAGATATCTGTAATTCAGTTTTGACTAGTAAGATTCAAACTACTTTTGCCATTCATGTGTATGGGGTTTGTCATTATAGATATCTCCAATGTAGTTGTGGATATCTGCAATTCTAACTGCGGATATCTGCAACTTCATTTTGACTAGTCATAATTCAAGTTCAAGATAAATTTAATTATCATCAATTGAAGATATCTACATGGTCCTTTCTAGATATCATGAATTAAGTTTCAGATAGTCAGAATGACGTTGTACATATCTGCAACTGAATTGGAGATATCTCCAATGAGAAACCCCATACAGATTAATGGCAAAAGTAGTTTGAATCTTACTAGTCAAAACTGAATTACAGATATCTTAAATTAGAGTTCTGACTAGTCAGAATAATGTCATAGATATCTTCAATTAAAATGCATACTAGTCACAATGACATTATGACTAGTCAAAATGGTGTTGTTGATATCTATAATGGTAATTCCGGATAGTCAAACTTTGCGATAATGTTAAAACGGCTTGCCATAGGTTTCTGTAAAGTTACCGGGCTCTGTATGTGACGTAATCGTTGCGCGACCATTTTGACAGGGGCGACGTAGGGGCGTAGGAACGCCGTTAGCGGTGTCTGTAATAACTCCGGTCACGGTCTGTGAAAAAATATTTTTTTCCAGCAGATGTCTTAGTTACAACATGATTGAGCTAACTGGAGTAGTTTCATGTCATATCCGACAACGGGAGGCTTTTAATAGATGACATCCTGATGTTAGCTTTGCTGCTGCTGTTAGCTGTCCCTGTCAGCTGCAGCCACTAACGTTACTGATGCTTTCTGATTTCCCAAAACTGAATAAATACCACACATAGCAACACCAAACTGCTTTGCTAGCTCAGTCATGTTGTAACTAAGATATCCGCTGGATAAAATATTTTTTCACGGACCGGTTTTTGAGTTTGTTTACATGGTGGTGGAAGCTATGAACGAGCTAACCCTCGTCTGCTGAGTTTTAAAAATGCGGCTATTTTGTTGCTTTCTGTTGACGTCACATCCCTCCTTGAGTATATCCAATCAGCACCAAGTAAACCCCAAGCCCCAGCCAGGAGTCTTTCGGGGCCGTTCTGAGTACCTACCACGAGGCAGGGACTTGTTTAGCCCCTGTAAAAGTTCCGGAACTCTGTCCTTCGGGGGTGGTTCCTGCGGTGGAGACACGCACCAACGGCTCCGGCCCCGTAAATTTACCCCGAAGTTCCTGCGGTGGAAACGGGCCTATGGATACCGAGGCGAAGCTCAACAGAACGCCCCATAGCAACAAATTCCCCCATGGTTTCGTCCTACCGCCGCCATTTTGGACCGTCAGCAGACCGCAGCAGACCCGCTTGCATACAAAAACACACAGACAAACTGAAGTATACCGCTATTAATTATGCTTACAATGCTACTCACCTCGTGATAGCTTGGTCACAGCTGCTTTTTCACGTTTTTGTAAAAGCAAAATATAGACTTTAAAAAAACCAAAACGAGGAAAAACGGCCGAGATGGCATCTCTACATATTACATCCACTTATGAGAAGATTAACTTAATTACTCCTTCAAAATCACCCCATAAGCCAATATACCAAAAAATAAAAATAAAAAATAATAATAATAAAAAAATCAATATTTTAACTAGAAACACATTAATGGCGACGTCACATAGTCAGGAATAAAGATTTATTTACAGTTTGTACAGTAAGGGGACAGTAATAATAATAATAATAATAATATATAAGCTATTTTAATATGATATATTTTAATGCTAAAGCAGTAATCAGTTCTGATATAAATGGTCCAAGAGGCCATACATAGGCCTATATATACACATATATCTTCCCAGGAAAACTGGCATATTAAATTGATATTAAAACACTTTAAAACGTACAGGGAAACGGTGGAAGGCCAGGTGCGGGGTGTTACACCGATAGTTGTTGCAGTTAATTGCACTACACTGTTTTCTTTTACTTTTTTCCTCCTCTTCTTGACATCTTGCATGTTGTCTGGGCGCAACAGTCCAAGCTCAACAGTCCAAAATGGCGGCAGCGCCCCTAGTGGCTGTTGGCAGAAATTCAACGGAGCTTCGCCTCTTGGTATCCATGCTCTTTGCACGCACCAACGGCCCCGTAAAATTACCCCGAAGTTCCTGCCACATTAACCTAGGACATGGCCCAAACTGCAAACGCCACAACTTTCCTGGAAGTTCTGATTTATGTATTCTCTGCCCACCTACTACCCACTTGGAAGCCATTGATACTTATCGCACAAACCTGCAGTTATATCATTAATAATAAACTTGTAATGTTTAATGAACAAACCTGCTCTGTGTAACCGAAGCTGAGGGTTTAAAACAGCGTCCAGTAGTTTCCGATGTCGCTCGTTTTCCTCTTTTGATCGACAAAGTTCCTCCTCGTACTCTGCTATCGTTCTTTCAACCAGCCCAAATATCTCTTCAGCAGCCGCAGTTAGTCGCTGCTTCACCAACGATCTCAGCATTTGGACTTTATACATGTTCACACTTTAAAAAACACAACAAAGAGACTCTGCTAACACACGTTTCCAACAGACGCCATCTTGTTCAAACAGTGTGACGTACAGCTTCCGGGGTAGATCTCTATGGAGTTTATTGGCGGTTGGCAACCAACTTGAAGGTGCATTACCGCCACCTACTGGACTGGAGTGTGGGACAGTAGATTTGCATACAAAACAAAACACACACACACAAAAAAAAGGGAACTTAAATCCTCTCCATCAGCCTTGTATCTTTTAGATATATGATTAAATGTTTGAGTATATTATTTGACTCTCCTCTGAGCAGGTCCCTATACTTAAACCTATCTTGGCCTTCTCTGCTGCTGTTATCAGTGCCCTCCTTTCCTCCTCATATGCTCTACACTCCAACAGAACATGTTGGACAGATTCTGACTGACCACAGTGATTACATTTGGCATCAGGGTGTTTACCTATTTTATGTAGTGTATTAATCAGTCCTGTGTGCCCTATCCCAAGTCGTGTGATGACTGCCTCTGCCCTCCGACTCCGGCCCATCCTTCTTCCCAACCCAACTTGATTCTGTATATTATATAAGTGTCTTCCCATGTCTTGGATGTCCCAGTGTTCTTGCCACACTTTTCCCGCATGTTTCTTAATTATTGATTTACCTTCTGCCCTACTTAACGGAATTTCTGCATTTACAGTGTGTGATTTAAGTGATTGTTTGGCCAGAATATCAACCCCTTCATTTCCTTCTATTCTTACATTGGCAGGAACCCAAATAAAGCAGACCATCAGACTCCTCTTGTGTATTCTGTACAGTAGATTGTGTATTTCAATTATGACCTAAACCTGCTTGTTCAGCCTTTATGTTCTCTATCCATCCAAAGCTCATAAAATTAGAGTCACTGTGCTCCCAACAGTCCTCCAGGATGCCTTTAGCAGGGTGTGAAGTGCTGTGCCCTTGAAGATTGACCCAGTATGCTAATATAAGTTTCATTCTTATGATCCGCAAAGGCTGTTCCCCCATTTCCACTTGTATGGCTGCTACTGGAGAGGATTTAAATGCACCACTACATATCCTCAGTCCCTGTGCCTGCTGTACATCCAGTCTTTAAAGATGAGTT